TGACCAATGCCAGCCCTGCCAGAGACAAACATGACTCACTCTCCCACAGTGCCATGGGTGAGTCAAGGGTTTGATCTCTGCAAGGTTAAAGGTCAGTGCAGTACATACAGGTTGCCCCCCGTGACCCCCCCCCCCCCCCACACACCCCCAGAGCTCCCATCCCTCGGTCGTTGTGTCTGTGCCTCTGTCTCTCCTCACCCCGGGTCCTCGCCAGGCCCTGGGAAGAGCCTGGGACACACAGACACTGACTTGTCGTCAGCAACGCTTCTACTAATTCCCGATTTCATGGGAGCCTGGGAGGGGGAAGGGTTAGGGCGTTGCGCCCAGCTGGGGCCTCCTGAGTTCCAACCCCAACTCCTCGGGACCTCATTGTTCCACTAGTTGCGCCGCCGCAGGCTGCGACGTGGGAGGGGAGCCATTTCATCATGACACCGTGACACCAAAATGTCACCAGTAACAGTAAAGTACAAAGACAGTGCGCCAGACAGATGAGTCCCCAATGGACGGGGTGTCACAGGGAGGCGAGGGGTCCTGCGCTGCTGGAGCGGAGATGCAGGGGCAGGGCCACTGTAACTCACAGACCTCCATCTCTTGCTGTCTTTCTCTTTCCCACCCCTCCGCTGCCTCTTTAGTGGCCGTCCTGTGGAGAAATGTTTTGAAAAGAATGAGACGAACCAGCTCAATAGCATAGCGATGTATGATGATGGTATTGTGTGTGTGTGTGTGTGTTCATTCAGGAGGGGTTTGTGCTGGACCTTTTCTCCAATATTGAATCGATTCATGGCCTTAAATACAATGAAATATTTATGGCACAGAGGTCTGAAGTGGTAAAAGGATTTGAATATATTACCCCAGAGCCTGAAATGTGGGACTAGGTAGAAATTTCTTTACAAAAAAGCAAAAAGTTTTCAAGTCTTTTTGTTAAAATTTTAATTTAAAAAAACACCAGTGCAATTTAAACTTGGGGGGTAAAAACAAAAAAGTCACTTCCCCCTCCAAATTCTTAAACCAGCAGGTCACATTCTGATCTACCTGAAGGTCATCTGATAGAGGTCACCTTGCTCTCTGTACCAGCCTGTCTCTCTGCTCCAGTTACAGCCCTGAAGGCTGAGGTCGGACCGCGACTATTCAGACGATACAATAGTCCCCCCCTCTGTAGCTGTGATACAATGGTCCCTCTCTGCTGAACACCGTCAGATTAGAAAATATCCAAATGGTCGCTCATATGTTCGTCTGTAGATAAGCGTCAGCAGTTCAGGTTACTCTGTGATTAACACTGTATCCTTCCTGATAACCCCAAACCAGGTCACCTGCACCACAATGGGCTGCAGGCTTTTGTTTACTCATCTCCATATGGCAACGTTAACCTATGTGAAGACATGCATTCATGCCAGCTTTAGCTAGCTGTTGCAGACTGTTGGCATGCATCTGATAAGTGCACTGATGTAGTGGTTGTTATAAAGTTATTAGATTCTGGTGTTGCTGGGAACATGAAGGTGTAGTCTATGTTTTGTCCCCTGCTTATTCTTTGCTAATTAAGAAGAGATATTAGAGACTGTAATGAATATGAATGTGCAGGGTTTTAATGCCTAGGGTTTGCCTAATTACGTTTCTGGAAACAAAATGCTAACTAGGAAGGCGATAAACTGTGCTGTTATATGTTTTTTTGACTTCATAGACCACCACCAGTTGGAAAAACAGCTGAGGTTTTAATTGTTGCTTAGCACCTCTTATGTTCTGTCATCCATCATGTGTGGTAAACAATCCGGCACTTGTGTTTGGATGTCTCCACATCCTCAAGCTTCCTCACTGTCCCCGCTCTCTTCGTCCCTCCGCACATGAGCAGTCAGAGTCCGCCCTGAGGCAGCTTGACACTCGTCCCAAGTCATTAAAACATCACCTCAGTCTTAATTATAGCCTCTGTCAGCGAGTTTCCCCGGGCCTGCTTCTTTTTTCCTTTTTTCTTTGATCCGGGAGCTGATGGCCCACTGCTCCCGTTGACCAGGAGTAAAGGAGCGAAACGCTGTGCCCCTGCCCACCTAGAGGAAATGAAAACTTGTTTGCTGCCGTTCACATTTGATCGCTGGAAAGATGGATGGTCGGAGGACTGCCTGTAGGGGTAGGAAGTGGGCTCGTAGGTGTATGTATACATGTCAGTGTGCGCTCTGAAGCAAAGAGGTCAGTATTTGTCATGCGCCTTCGTTGCCCTCAGGTCTCATTAGCCTGACCTGTGCTACTCGGCGAGTGCTCTCTGCGCCCATCTAAGCATCGTCGTCATCGCAGCGTTGGCTTCATAGACAAGCGCCTGCTGTCCTCATTAAATTCAGCCCAGGATGTGACACTATCCAAGGGCGCTATGAATATAAATATCTCTACAGCACAACACGAGCATATTGTTTTATTCTTGTCTCAATTTGCCATGTTTGCATTTTAAGAAGAAGGACAGACTTGAAACGTGGTGATTTTAGGATCATTTCCAATCTGTTGCGCCAAACACGTTTTCCTTTTTTTCCCTCTTTTTTTTTTTTTTTTTAAACCATCCTCTCCCGCTCTCTTCCCAAATCCTGCTTTCTCCTCCTGCCATTTCTGCTTCTTTTGGCCCCTTTTTGGCTTTGATTGAAAACCAATGAGGCGACTAATAAGTGGAAAGATAGAAATTTACTTGCTTTAAGTTCATGCGTCAGCCTTCTCCTTTTGCTGCCCGGGCCACGTTTAGCACAACAATATCGCAGAAGCAAAGACTGCCAAAGGAGCTGCTCTGTGCTACATGATGGTGCGCTTCACGCCCCATTTCCCACCAATACCCCGTCGCCCCCCCGCCTTCGCCATCTCTACCTTTTCCTCTCTTTCAGGGCCACGGCTTTGGGACAAGTCCACCTGCAGGGGGTTTGAATTGAAATGCATTGATCTCTCGCTCACTGGAAACAACCCTGTCCCTTTACGTTTCCTTTTTTCCCCCTTCTTTTTTGTATTCAGTAGTATGTAAGTTCAAGCTCTCAGCTTTGGCATCAGTTTTCAAGCATTACTGCTACTATACTTTTTAAATTAATGCTTTTTTTTTAGCTGATTGTGTGAAAATACTTTAGTGGTTATTTTAAACTCGGACGTTCTTCAACAACAAAAGCAGGGAGCCTAAATGAACAACTTCTTGTTAATTAAATGATAATTAAAAGACCATAAATGGAAAAAACTATAAACAACAGGTTTCCTGTAGTGTAGCATCCCGCCACCTGCAAGTATTCTTCCAGCTGGTGCCTCTCATGTGCTGTGTTGCATTTGCAGGTTAGAAAAAGATTAATTCCTCCTTTGCCTCTTCCCTCTCCAAGAGTAAGCATCAAAAGGCTTTTTAGGGCAGTCATTTTGTCCCTCTCCCATTCGCTCTCATTTGGCATCTTTCAGGGCACTGAGGCAGAAAATGAAGGAGAGGGAGACGGCCGCCTTCCCAGTCAATTTCGGTGTTTAGTTAAAAGGAAGGAAAGTGATTGCGCTGCTCGTTTTCTCCTCACTGACAGGCGGCGAGCGGATGCCGATTAGTTATTGTATGATGATTTAGAGTCTGGTAAAGCTTTCCATTTAAATGCACCCAGTGGTTATTTTGCATAGTCCCCCTGCAATTTGCCTCAGCTCAGGAGACATTGGCCATCATCTTGTCCTAATGCCGTGTAATTGTTGGAGGGGTGCATCGCTGGGCAGGCACGTCAGACCGCCACGCTCTTTTAGGTCCCAGCCGTGACTTTACTGAAATCGCTCCCGGCTCCCGCCAGCTGGAAAAAAGAAAAACGACAAATGTCTGTCAACGAGGACAACTTTAGTGGATTTTAGGGTGTAGACTTGAAGGTCTTATTGTGCGATGCCCATTTAGGGGAAGATTCTTCATTTGAAAATAAAGCAGAAGGGGAAACGTCACTCAGAAAATCAAAAGTGGAAAACTGGAAGATTAGAGAAGAGTGAGAGAATGGCAGAAACACGATAGAGTTGGCAGATTCTCTCAGACGGGCAGAGCTGCTGCTCAGATCGGTGCTGTCGTAGCATCAGTGGGGTTTTATTGTGTGTTTTTCACTTGTCAGGTATACACTGTTCTTTAGGATGTGAGTAATTTCATTCTCGTGCCCTTTCCCACTCTTTCTCGCTGTGTTCTGCTTTTCCTCGCCTTCCCCTGTGGTGCAGGGCCACATGGGGAAAATGAAACCAAATAGAGGAGAAAAATGGAACATTGATTTTTTCCCCCCTTTTTTTGTCTTCACTAAAGTCCTGATGTCGTTTTCAGGTCTCTTCTTTTTCACGCATCATTCCCTCTGTTCTTCTGCCCGCCGTGTCCTCACACAACAATCTCTTCATACTGTTGTTTTTCTTCTTTTTTCTTTTTGATGAGGTCTCAAGAGGTCCTAGTTATTCCTCTCAGGGAGTGAAGTGTGTGAAATGGAGAGAGTAAGTGTGTGCCTTTGTGTGTTTTTCAGAGTCGTGCACCGGCTGACCTCTACCTGATGACCAAGAACCCAGAAGACTCTCCAAATGTCCAAGATGTGCTGGAGATAGAGTTCAAAAAAGGTTCGTGGGCTCACCACATGTGTCACCTGTTGATCCCTCCATCAGTCTGCATCTGTCTTTTACCTGTTTTTGCAGTACTGTGCAAAAGTTTTAAGCCACCCATCGTTTCTTTATGCTTTGATTCTGTTTAATTTTTAAAAGTTTTCAGCAATAGGTCTCTAGGTTTTTTTAAAGCTCTTTCAAAGTTTTTCTTTGACTGCTTTTTCACTCATTTTCAGCTCCGCCCTTGTATCTGCCCTTTTTCAGAACACCACTTTTTGTTAAGCCAATGATCAGGGAGTCATTCAAGCATAAAAAAGACACCTGTATTGTCTACAATTAACAGACAGCTTAGCAAAGAAACAGTTTTAAATGGTATATTTGGGTGCTTTGTTACTACCAGGCGGTGGCAAAACACATAATTTGCTGCAATTTCTTTTACTGAATCTATGAAAAATGCCCAAAATAACAGTTTGACAGAGATGACGTAGGATCAACACACAGAGCTTTAAATGTCCTTAAAGAAGCCCAGAGAACTATTCCTGAAGACTATTTGAATACATTACAAGAAAGCTTGCCTAATAAGAAGGGTAGAAGAAGAAGCATGTGCTTGTGTTTCTGTTTGCACATCTTTTAATAAATTGCTGCACCTTTTTCCACAGTTTTGTTGCAAAATATAAAGAAATCAGGGAAGGTGCAAGACCTTTACACAGCACTGTTCATGTATATGATGGATGAGTTTGTATAGCACTTTCCAAAACACAGAGTTAAAAAGTCCTTTACAGTTTGAATAAAAGCTACACATTAAAGATATGTATACATGTTCCAAGATACAGACAAATAATTAAACATGGGGTCACATATTCATTCCAACATACACACAAACAGATGTAAACGATGGTCCAGAGTAAAGAGGAAAAGATTAAGGGAAAGTTAACCTGTAAAAATTAGTTTTCAGCAGCCGTTTAAAGCAAATCACAGATTTGGCTGGCCTGACAGGCTGAAGGAGGCTTTTCCAAAGTTTGAGCACCGCAGTCTCAAAAGCAGTCTCGCCTCTGACTCTAAAGTAAGAGGGTGGAACAGTTAGAAGACCTTGATTCAGCCATTTGAGAAGTCTGCTGAAGCGATGATGTCTCAGTAGCTCTAATAAAAGAAACAGGGGCCTGTCCGTGTAGAGCGTCATATTTTAATAAATTCCACTGGGAGCCAGTGAAGGGAAGGAAGAAGATCTGTAATGTGTGAGAATATGCGTTCAGCACTAAAGACTGGCTAAGGAGGACTGAGAGATGCACATCAAGAGCGAGTAAGAGTAATCGAGGGAGGAGAAGATTAAAGAGTGAACTGAAAGTTCAAGATGACTGGATGACAGTGAAGGCTCGATTTTTGTGATACTTCGGAGGTGAAACCTTTATCATGCGAGATGAAAACAGACAATTCAATTGACCTGTTGCCATGTATTTGATGAATAATTGAAGAATGGATGTGGTGATGGAGGACCTGCAGAGGGTTGGTGTGACAGATGAGCCACTGTGGTGACCTCCAAGAAGGAGGTGAATTATATGAAGGATAATCACGCAGTGTTTTTAGTGTCATTTCTTTGGCCTCTGCCTTACTTTGTGTTGCTCCATCAAACCTGGAGACATTCTGTTGCATGTCATGCATAAACATTTAAAAAATGTGTTAAATTTAAACATTTCGGAGCTTCTGTTAATCATCGTTAAGAGGTCGCGTCCACTATCGCTCACTGTCCACTGCAGGCCGTACCTCATCTTGTTACTTAACACTGATGGTTACAGCTGTAGGGCTACAGATCTGAGGCTGACTCAGCTGCACTTTATCACCATTTCTGACCACCCAGTCTTATCCCTAACCCCTCACAGCATTACTTGGTCCCAATCTGCCATGTTTGACCCGGGGGCACACACACAGGCCGGAAGCATTAACTCCAGCTAATACATTGAGCCCTGAGGGGCCAGGGGAACGCTCATTAGATATATTGCTACGAGGCTCAGGGTGAGTAGTAGAAAGTGTCACATGTTTGTGCAAAAAGAAAACGGCAAGACACATCCAAGCCTGGGGCAAATGGCACAGATGTCCCTTCATCGTGGTTCCTCGGTGGAGGTTGAACTACGGCAACATCAATAGGCGGAGGAGACACTAGCGCCTCTGATTGAACAGACTTAGTGGGCAGCTTTACGAGCTATAAGCTATAAGGGTAATTTAAGGGAAGTTCAAAAGTTTAGCAGGAAATTTCAAAGAGCAAATGAAAATGCCTTTCAGTGGATCTGCAACGAAAATGGATACCCCGATCTCTCTTTACCAGTTTCCCCCAAAGAAATGTTTAACTTCGAAACAAGTTGCTCGGCGTCGGTTATCTGGAGATGCTTTTGTAAAACAGCGATGCTCTAGTAAAAGCCCGGTCTGGTTTCGCGGGCCCTTTGCATGCCTGTGCTCCATTTTCACACATATTCTCTGTGCCTTTTATTGAGCGCTCTATGACAAAAGCTGTTTTAGTTGTCCACACAAAGGCCCAAGCCTACTCCTCCCTCTGAGCACAAGATCAGCACAAGAATGTTTCATTTCATTCCCCCTCCCACCTTTTCATCCCTGCCTTTCTCACCAACGTTTTCTCACTGATTAAAAAAGAATATTTAACGACAGGAACCTTTCTACCCCCGTCAAACGCTCCGTTCCCCCAATCCTCTCCCCTTTTTTTAAGTGAAAAAAAAATCATCCCTCCCTCCTTTCTTGCCAAAGAGGTAAGGAGGAAAAAGAGACACAGAGGAAAAATGTAAAGCAGTAATTTTTCCTACAACTGTGTCTGCGCTCCCATTGTCTGCACTGTTAGGCCACAAAAAAAGAAAAGAAACTGAAGAAAGGGGATCATGAGTGGAAAAATACCCCCTCGGTAAATGATAGAACCTGGAACAGCGCAAGGACGAAAAGAGCCGACCCCTGCACTCCCACGTTCAGACGCTCAGCTAATTTATTTAAACTTTTAATCTAATTATTAAATATCTAGGAGAGGGCACGTTTTAAAAAACACACTGCCCTCTCCTGCTTTCACTGTTTTTGCTTCTTCCCCTTCTTCTTCTTCTTCGTCTTCTTCGTCTTCCATGGGAGCCACCATGATTCCCGCGATATGAGAATGGGCTGTCAACAAAGCCCTTGTCTAAAAAAATTAGCCAAGTCCCTCTCATGTCAGTCCCATTAGAGCTTAGTAAACGCTAGCTGAAAAGCAGAGAAGTGCTGCTCTTCTCTTCAAAGCTGTTTGACTGACAACTGCAAGCACGCTCAAGTGTGTGTAGGCCTCGGGATGGACAGCGCAGCGGATTTCGTCCTGCTTCCTCCTTGTGTAGTCTTAAAAAGGATATATACCCCCCTCCTTCCACCTCCACCTTTGGCCTTCGTTGCTTTATCGAAGGCCACGAATAAGCAGGTCTATGACAGTGATTGATGCGCACTTGGGTTAAGTGTGTGGAGAGATCGTGGGCGTCTAAAGAGCAATAGGAAGATGAGTGCAGGTGCTTTAGCTTCCAGCACATGCGCAAAACACACACAAGAAGCGAGAAGGAAAAAAACCTCAGAGCTGAAGAGAGTATGGGTAACAAAGCTGTGTGTGTAATTGAATTAGGTAAAGCCAGCCCACAATTTCACAGCTTTCAAATGAGAAGGGCCTTTGAATTTATTAGCCCTTCTCTCCATCTCCTTTTGTAATGGCTTTCACTTTTAGCTGGAGACTATTTATTTGACTGGCTGAGATAATAAGCGCTTGTCAGCAGATTTGATAAACTCTGCTTTGTTTTTGTTTTTTTTATATTTGTTCAGTGAAAATTAATAATTTGTTTTTTAAGCCATTTATCCAAAACATTTTTTTTTAAACTAGACTGAAAGTAAACTCATGGTTCTTTGATGTGTTTCTTGTGTTTTTGAGCATTAGATTAATTTATCAGCTGCCTGCTTTGCTGTAGTTGTTCTTTGTTGTATCAGAAAAACAGAGCACTTGGATATCAGCCTATAGATAAAATTATTTTCTGTTTGAATCTCAGATGTAAGAAAGCACGATGTAGAGGATGGATAACGTCCTGCATCAAAGCTATTTTTAGTTACTATTTATGATTCTGTTTCTATGTTGGTGTTAAAAAAAATTTTTTTTCTAAATCAGTATTTTATTCCTGCAGGTGTTCCTGTCAAGGTGACCAATATGAACGATGGTATTTCCAAAAACACAGCACTGGATGTCTTTTCTTACCTCAATGAGATCGGGTAAGCATTTTTCTGTGGCTTCAAAACAACATGGACCTTCTGTGTACGGCTGTAAGTAAGCCTCTCTATCAGGATCGTGTCTCCAGAGGTGGAGCAGTGGTTAAGTTTACCACCTCTAGAATGATGTCTGTCGCTGCTGGCCCTGGGATCAACTTCCACCAGTTTTCCCTCCTGCGTTTCTCTTCCAGCCTTGTTTCCTCTCTCTGCTTTCCAACTGTCAGCGTAAATGAGAAATACTAAAGGTGAACCAGGCGACACCACAGAACAAACTGTTTTCCTCTGCTGCTTTTGGGTTTCAAGGTGTTTCCTGTGATTTTTATTTTACACACACTTTTTTTTCTTTAATTCTTAACTTCAGACCTTCAGACTGTTACAGATTATCTATCTTTTACATAATCTATAATGAAGTTGTACAAACTGCTACTGTTACTAATGCAGCACATTTCTATTCAGTTTAAGCACTCAGATGATGTTGATGATGCATTCCTATGATTGCATGATTGGTGTGTATCTACCCAAGATATTTTGGGTTTATTTGAATTCTTACTGTTTGACACAAACAGATTTACATAGTAGTGCATTTCAGGACTAAAACATGTAATTCTACTTCAGCACACAGCATTCATTGGGCACTCTGAGTCAACTTTTCCCACATAAACGACGGTCAAAAAGTAAAAAACACACCTCAAAACAATAGCTGTATGGGCCACATTCAGGTGTCATTTTCCTGTAGTTGCTGTAGAAGCTGTTCATTCAGTATTAAGTAGCTGTGAGCCAAAGGGTCTGCAAGAATCACTTGTAGTAATTTATCGATCTCTAAATTAAAGAGTTTAACTTCAGGCAAAATAAACATTTATGTGTTATTCAAATGTTTTATGCCTCCACATTTGTAGTATTAATCTGATAAAGTCACAGCAGGCGGACATTGTGCCAGACACAACCCTGGTTTCTGGAGCTCTATTAGCCCTCTGTCCTCTAATAGGATTCCACTGGAATGTTCCAGATTTTGGAGAATTCCGAAGGAAAAGGGAAATCTGATAACAATTAAAACACCTAAGTGTCAAGTGTTAATTTAAAGATCATGAGTAGGTCTTTTAAACTATATATGACCATTTAATATTTCTACATTTCATTATCTGTTTCTCATTATCTCTTTCTCCGCCTCCTCTCTTTCATCTGCCTCAGCCATCATTGCTCTCTCTCCTCCCTCATTCTCTTTCTCATCACCTTCAGCCTCAGCCAAGACTCCTGAACTCAAGTCAGGGGTCTAACAAAAGAAAATATGGGTAAACATGCTTATTTATTACTGGTACCGCCATCGTTAGTTATTGCAGCCCTCCGGACTGGAGACATAAAACAACAGCGAATGTTCTTCCAGGTAATGTTAGGCTCGAGTATTTTAAAAATCGCCCTTTCCTTCTGATAAATAGCTTGGTTACATTCTCACATCATATCAGAGTTTGTTCACTAAGTGTGTGAGCCACTTCAAAGAAAGTTTCTCTAACAGCAGCTAATGGAAGCGCTCACTGATAGAAAAGTTCAGCATAACTTCAAAAACTCACCTCAGCATTGCTGTCATCAGATAGAAGTGGGATTCACTGTTTTACAGCCTCATTCAGAGTAAACAGGCATGGACACCTGGTACAATACAAGCTGAGGTGAACAAACGACAGGCTGTATTCAGTACAGATGAACTCCAGCTAAAATGTATGAGGTGACTCGGGCAGGTAAAAATGTAAAATATTTCAAAATATTTTTATTTCTGATTTATTGCAGAGAGGCCCAAAATGTCACACAGATTGAATAGAAGGGAATTTCAAGGTCAAGAAATTATCCAACAGTCTTGTCTTTATCTCTTAGGGGAAAACACGGAGTGGGCCGGATAGACATTGTAGAGAACCGTTTCATCGGCATGAAGTCCCGAGGTAAGACTTAAAAATGTTTGGTTCTTCTTTGTCTCTTTTTTGTGCCAGATTCCCGATTCCTGACTTATTTGAGCAATAATATCCACTGTAAATGCAGTAAGGCGCATATATTTGCACTTACTCTGAACTGCCTCATAGTATTTTAATTTTACATGCACTGAAAGCCTTCCTTTCAACATCCAGAGCTTTCATCCAATTTGCAGTTATTTTACATGAATGCTTCAAGTGTCACCTCTACTTCCATAAAAGTGGGCCGGGTGGCGAGCACACTTCTTAAGAGAAATGTTTTTCCTGTGGTTCACCTGGAATCATAGACTCCAAAGTTGCTTCCATTCACTTATGCATGCACACATACAGAAAACTCACACCGTGAAGAGGAAAGGTGCACACGCTTCAATGGATACACACAAATGCACAGTCGATCACGTATCTGCGCACACATTGCTCTAGGATGGTTTTTTTGTCTCTTTATCTTCGGCATCAGCAGGCAACTTGAAAAGCTCCTTTGTTAGGTC